GGGAGATGGCTCAGTGAAATAAGCGCTTCCCTGGCAAGTACAAGGGCTTGTCGCCATTGCCACTTAAACACTGTAGGTGCATAAATTCAGCAAAATAATCCAATATAGTCCAGTAGTCCATAATAGTAGTGGGTTATCCATAGGACGGGCAATGTCAGAAGTTGTTGACTTGAGCCTTTCACAACTGAGCATATTAATATGGCTTTACTTTTTATAACTCATTTTTATACTTTTCTGCTGGATTGCTATGACCAAGATAAAGAAGACCTATATATCAAGAAATGTATCTTTTGTATCTGACAAGGTCAGTCAAGTCCCCTCAGGACTTATCATAAAACCCTGTACCGCACTATGCAGATCCTTTGTCAGTGTCAGCCATGTGGATGAGTCACGGCCATTGCTTGACCAATTTGTTCTCTGTGAAAGCTTGAGAGAATGTTTTCTCTCCATGTGACTCTCCTTAGGCACACCCTACGTCATCGATCACATTGCTCTGTGGCCTCATAATCTCCTTGATCAGAAAATTTGGGACACAACTGAGTTTACATGATATTACAATATATTCTTTCAAAAGTAGTACAGGTCCCTTGTGACAGAGGATTCCTGATTCGTCCTTCCTTCATAACATTTCTATTGCTATTCATTTCACTTTTCCATGGCTACAGTTACTCAATACAGGTTTTTGTTATTACTTTAAACAAACATTGTCTGTTATATCAACTAAGAATAAAAAATTCATTTATCCTCCTCTCACACTTTCTTTTTTTATGTGAACCAGCTTCTATCCTGTCATTCCGTCCTGTTGAAATCCAACTTGTAGTGTTCCCCACAGAGCAGGTCTCCTGGTGACAAATTCTCTCAAGTTTTGTCTGACAATCTTTATTTATCTTTCACTTTTGAGGGACATGTTGGTTGAATACAGAATTCTAAGTTGATGTTTCATTCCTTTTAATGCTTTAAATATTTCACATCAATCTCTTCTTACAAGGTTTCTGACAGAAGGCCAATGCAATTCTCACTCTTGTTCCATTGTAGGGAAGATGTTTTTTCACTCCTTGTCCCTAGTCTCCAGCTTTTTTCAGGATTTTATCTCTGTCTTTGATTTTATGCAGCTTGAACAGCAAATGTGTGCCAAGGTACAGATTTTTCTGGCATTCTTCCTGGTTGGTACTGAATTTTTTTTTTTTTTTTTTGTAATGTACTTAGTACAGCATCTACAGGGTCTCACTACACAGATTGGACTCACAGTGATCCTTCCTGTTTTTCAGCCTCCTAAGCGCTAGGATTACAGGTGCATGCCACCACGGCTAGTCTCATTCACTGTTTCAGCGCACCCCAAGGGTGGAGCTGGCACCACAGGTGGGGGATCGAACCCCTGCCCCCTGTGTCTACCTAAGCAAGCACTTTAAGCTGCTGAGCTATCTGGCTAGCCGGTACTGATGACGTTAAGGCTCTAGGACCTGGCAATATGTTTGATGTCTGTTATTAATTTTGGGATATTGTCTATCATCATTGCATCAAGTATTTCTTTCTGTACCCTGTTTTCTCTTTCTGTTATCTAACAAGCATGTTTCATTTTGTGTGGTCATCCCATGGTTCTTGAACATTTTTTTTTTTAATTTCTTATTTCTCTCCACTTTCCAGTCTAATAACAAGATACCACAACTGACAGGCCTGCAAAGCTCAGAGTCTGTGTAAAAAGGTGTGTCAAAGGAAATCCCCAGACAACTAAGTGGATAATAAATAAGGGCAGCATAAGAATTTTTAGCCATAGCAGATAGTAGACACTGCCTAGGTACAACTGGAGGAACATGTAGCCTCACACTAAAGGCTTGTCTGCCTTAGTTTTTCGTTTTTTTCTTTTCCTCAATGATTCATCTCAGACTTTTAAGAAAAATTACAAGACATTCTAAAAGATAAAAAGTACAGGGGCTGGAGAGATGGCTCAGTGGTCTAAAGCACCTACTTAGAACAAGCTTAGCAAAGCATCAGGGACTGCGGTTCGGTCCCCCAGCACCACATGCCAGCCAGCCCCGCCCCCTGGTGGGCTGAGCTGGCCACACACACACACACACACACTCTCTCTCTCTCTCTCTCTCTCTCTCTCTCTCTCTCTCTCTTTCTCTCTCTCAAATAAATAAAAATTATTAAAAAAATGTTTAAATAAAAAATAAAAAGTACAAAGTAATGAAACAAACCAGCCTCCAACCTAGACTCAGGTATGGCACAGACTTAGAACGATCAGGCTAGGAATTTAAAATAACTGAATGATATGTTGTCTCAGTTACTCTTCTCTCGTTGCTGGGACAAATACCCGACACTCAAAATAAAGGAAGGAAAGGTTTATTTCGCTCACATTCAGTGGAGGTTTCAGTTCATACTCGGCTGGCTCAAGGCAGGGTGGCACATGGCAGAGGGCAGCCTTTCATGGCGGCGGCAGCAAAGAGCAGAGAGCAAAGGCGTAGCAGCAGCAGTGGCTACAGGGAGGAAGTCCGTCTCCCTTAAGTTGCATTCAGGCTGTATGCTCCAGTCTGCGTGTAGTACTCAGACCCATAATCCCAGTATTGATCATGAATTAATCTCAAAACTTTCAAAGTCCCTGCCCCATGACTGCATGAGGCTTTGGGTCACAACTAGACACAAAACATAACATATGTTACGGCCACTAATGCAAAAAAAAAAAAAAAAAAAAAAAGAATGAGGAACAAAAAAAGGTAGTAAGGGGAGCAAAAAAAAAAAAATTAGAAAAAAAAAAAAAAAAAAAAAAAAAAAAAAAAGGAAAATGGGCAAAAAAAGAGGGAAATGGGAGTAGAGACATGCAAATTCTGAGAAAGAATCAAAAAGAAACCTAGAAATAAAAAAGCATTTTGATAAAAATGAAGAACGTCTTTAATGGGTTCCTTAGTAGACAGGACATGGCTGAAGAAAGGACCAATAGTAAACTAGAAGGTATATCACTGAAACTTTCACCATACCTTAGTAAGTCAGGAAGGCCAGAGTGCTGGGACCGGGCATCTCCTTCTCCTGGGTAGGTAGGCTTTGATAAGGTCCCAGCAGATTGGGCCAAGTAACACAATTTCTTGGAGGGTAGACCCTGTGAAGGGAGTACCCTGACCGTGACTATAAGATGGGTCTCCTAGTGATAAATTTTATAACTGTGTGCTTCCCAAGAGTTTTTTTTCTTATTCCTGTCTAACACTTTCACCAGGCTAGATCCAGGAGCCTGGGAAGTGGTGCCCTTAGCCCACTTGTGTGTTCAGAGCAGCAGTTTTACCCATGGATCTGAGAAGAGTTGTCTATTTGCAGTCTGTTTAGCTTTCCTCTGGTGAGAATGGGAGCCATGTCTTTCAAACTCTTTGTATGCTGGACCAGAAACTAGATGTCTTTTCATTTTTTTTTTTTTTTTTTAATCTGTACCTCTGAGTACTCCTTACAACTTCTATAAGGTTATTTTTTAAATCCAGTCTACTGCTTTCAAAAATTTATATTCAGACTTTTCATAAATTCTAGGTTGCTGTGCTCTAGTTCAATTCAAGCAAAAATAAGAGGGGCAGGAGAGGCTACCTCAGACTGAGACTCAGAAAACCACACAGCTGCAGACGGTCAGCTATAATACCTGCCAGGCCACTGGGTATTCAACAACACACATCCAGAAACAAACAGGTGCTAGGTCCACACTCGTCCAGTACTGCCCCATCTCGTCATGTTGGCCAAGTGGAGGCCCCTGAGTAAGGTTTTGCTGGAGTGCATATCTAAGTGTATATCTAACCTGTGGTTTTAAATAAACTGTGGGTTAGCTGATATTTCATGGTGGATTTCATTTAAATATGTATGTACATGAACGGTTTCTTTAAAAACCATTCTATGGATTCAAAACTCTTTTAAGCTCATCATACGAATTTCCAAGAGGCTAATCCTTCTATCACCAGCCTCATCTGAGAAATGCTAGGTCCAAACATCTGTTGATGAAGACACAATACGCTGCTGACTGGTGTCTACAGAGATGTAAGAGAACAGCCTGGCTGTCTCATTCTGACCTAGTTCCTTGGCAAGAATGCCAGGAGGTGGTATTTAAGTGTCTAAACACCCCAAAAGCAGCAGGGTAATGAACAAGTGTTCCCCGCCTAGGGTCCTGCCCGTCTTCAGGATGGTGAGGGGATCACTGTTCAGCTAACGTAGACAAGACTGCTCAAGAGGCTCCCAAGAGAGCCAAAAGAAGGAATCTGAACCAATGGACACAACTAGTCGCCTTCCAGTTACTACACTTTAACGACATTTCAAATTGATGTGAGCTGGCTCCAGACCCGCAAGGAGCACAGGAGGGTTCACACACAAAAGGAAAAGAAGACATGGAGTGAAGAGCAGGCACAGAAATACCCAGGCCAGCAGGTCCACACTGAAATGTTTCTCATCTGTGTAACAGATTCCCTCAAGCCTCAGGACAGAGCCAATGATCAGACAGGGTGTCTCAGCAGGGGCAACCTGGGAAGACAGTGTAGACCTACAGCACTGGTCACTGACTCAGGGACAGCAGTTCACATGGCCACAAAAATGTGTTATCAACTTCTGCTTTTGAGATACAAATAGTCCTTGTGTAATAACCCACCTGTTTAACAACCATTTGGATTTATGACTGAGGCACACTGTTTAGACTTATAACTCATCTTTTTTTGACCTATTTTTGTAGTTTTGTATGTTTTATTTATAAAGCCTCAATGTTCTTGCACAATACATACCTTGCTTATACTATATTGCAATTTTTATTCATTGTACTGCATAGTACACTACTTTAGTTTTGTGTTATTATACATTATAGTACTGCACATATACATTATGCAATAAAAGCAAAGTTATCAAGTTGGAGTTTCCTTTGACTATTTCTTTGTTCTGGCTGTAATGTAGATACTACACACAATTTTGCATTTAGTCACCAATTTATTTAACAGTCTAGTACCAGGAATGGAACTTGGTCATTAAATGAGGATGGTACAGAATCTTACCTTTAAAGTCAAACTGGTAGATGTTTTTTAAGGATTCATGAAGAAAATAAAAGCTTCCTAGTGCCTGTAAAAACAAACAAAAAAAAAGAGATAAGATCAGAGAAAGACTCACATTGGGGGATTCCTAAGCAAGGTTCCGAGCTACAAATTAAAGGATGTTCTTAGGTTAGCACAAGTTAACCAGCTATGACTCACACAATCACAGACACAAAGGCTGACCACAGCAAGCTTGCTAAGGTCCACCATCACCAGGCTTGGGTGTGGAACCCCACTGGGAGGCCAAGGGTAGGGCTCAGCTGGACGAGGCCTCTGCAGAGCACTGACCCTCAGCTCCACAGCTACATGTGGTCTGAGATCTGGCACTGACCCACTGTACACTGGACATTCTGCTAGCCCCCTTCCTCTCACCCCTCATTCTGCAGAACTGAGTGGAAGCCCTGTGCCCAGCAGCCACCGAACCCAGCCCATGCGTAGATTAACTGAGCAAATAATTCTGTAAGCTACACATCATTCTGATCTGAGGGATCCAGCATGGCAGGATACAGTGTTCTAAGAGTCACTTGTTGCTGTTCTGAAATTAAAATTTAACATAGCATTTTTATACATATGTATAAGTGTGTATTCATATATAAATTTTGTGTGTATATTATGTTTTTATTTTTCCAAATCTAATAAGGGTCCTGGGGAATCTTTACAGTTGTAGTTATAAACTGTATACATTTAAAACTACACATTTATCAAAACTCACTGGTCTGTCCCTGAAAGGATAAATCTTGCCATCCATACATTATATATAATAATATAAACTCAACTTAACAAAAAAAGCCCTATGGGGCCGGGGAGATAGCTCAGTAGAATAAGCACCTGCCTGGCAAGTGCAAGGTCTTGAGTTCAATTCCCAGTATTACAAAAAAATAATAATAAATAAATAAAAAGTCCTACTCTCATCCACATGGCTGACACTGACAAAGGTTCTACAATCTGAGATACAGGATCTCAGGGTAAATCCTGAGGGCATTTCACTGACCTTCTCAGACCAAAAAGCTACAACTCTTATTGCACAGGTCCTGCTTTACCTTGGTCTTAACTATCCAGCAGAAAAGTATAAAAACAAAGTATAAGAAGTAAAGCCATGGTGTTATGTTGAGCTGTAGGGAACTCAGATCAACAATTTCTGACATTGCCAGTCAAGCAGAAGACCCAATACTATTATGGGCTACTGGACTCTTTTAGAATATTTTGCTGAGTTTACATACCTGTAATATTCAAATAACGGAACTTAACAAAAAAA